TATTTCTATTACTGTATGTCCCATGTTGCTTTTTCCTTAACATGAATTCCATAGGGTTTTCTTTAGCAAGAAATACTCAGAGGTGTTTTGTCAGTTTCTTCCTCTGAAATATAACCTGCAGCACCTAGTATTCACTGGCAAACTCCTACAGCACCTTAGCAAGTACTAAGTAAAGCTTCCAAGATCAGATGGGCTCAGATGGGATCTTTAGGGTATTTGGGCCTAATACAGGTAATACAGTAATGGGCCTAATAGGTAATAAAGTAATACAGTTTAAAAAGTAATACAGTGCACCCTTCCCATCCATGAGGGTTTGTTTCTGGACAATAATGGGGCAGGTCAATCTGCAGACATTTGAGTCTATGGTCAACATCCACCAGAAGTTGCACTGGAGGACCTAGAGGTTCCTAGAGAGAATACTTCTCCAAGCATTTGTAGGTCCTCCCATGCAATATCTCTGGCAGATGTTGGCCATACAGTTGTGTTAGAGGACCTAGAGATTCCTAGAGGAGGTGTTCTCTTAGGTAAAAAAAATAGTGTTTTTTTATTGGCAATTTTTCCATTTTCAAGGAGTCCAGCATCCCTAATCCTAGTGAATGTGCCCACTGTATATGCAACTGGACTATTCTTAAAAAGGCTGGATTTTTTTAAAAGCCAGCTCCTTGCACTCCAATTAATTGTCTTTTTCTTAATGTAAGGCTGTTGTGGACGAAAAACAGGAACCGCTGAGCTCCTTGGTTGAAAGGTGAGATAAAAATTAAATAAGTTAATCAGTCAGAACAAAATATGTCATTTAGGGAATATAAATGATTAAGGCTTGGATGTTGTCCTTTTTAAAATAAAGAAGGGGAAAGTGATGGGCATTCTGACTGTTGTGGTTGAAGAGACTATTTTCTAATCCTAGCCGCAAACTCTGTTTTGCAGGTTGACAATTTATATCTTATGTGAACGATCTTACCAGTTCCCATATATTTCCCAACAAGGAGCCAATGATCTCAAAATGAGTTAGGATTTGTTCTAAATAAATGCCATTTTGTGCATCCCTCTTTTTGCTCAACCATATGTTTTGTTGAGCAAAAGCAAAATGACCCAGTTAATAATACAGGTCCTCTCAAAACCTGTTCCACTTCCACTGTTTTTTTCCCCTCAGTCTAAAGTTGTTTAAAATCATGCAGTGATTCAAGCTATTTAATTACACCTGAGAAAACATTCAATAATCTCAATTATCCTATTGACGTGTATTAGAACTACTCAGGTGCCACTGTAGATTTAAAGAGTCTTATTTCTGATCAGCCGGAAATCTTCCAGCTGTGAAAAAGAAGTGCTAACTAGATAAGAGACATGCTACACTGAGCTGAACACCTCAGAAAAATAAATCTGGCTAGTCAGCAAACAGCAGCAAAGGATTTACGCAGGCTTCTGGAAGAAC